AGCTGTTCATCACTAATGATCAATCAGCACTTAATTAATCACATAATTATCTCATTAACTTTAACACTGCTTCAGTGTTACTTTAACACTCTTTTAGAGTGGGACCATATATGCTCCGAGCAGTGTTCATTTAACACTCAGGAATTTACTGTGTACACTTGGTAAAAAAATGAAAAATAAACCTCTGCAATTTCATAGAAAAAAAATTCAAGTGTACAGTTGTAAATATTTCTGAGTTCTGTATCCCTCTGTGTTGTTTATTTATTTATTTAAAAAAAATTTTTTTGTTTGTTAGGAAGATAACTGAGCCTTTAATCTCCTTTGTAATAGATGTGCTTATAAATCAAGAGCAAGGCATTTATAGCCGTATTTATAAACTGCTTACTAATGACTATTAATGTTGAAGCAAGGCTTTATAAAGGATGAACTGACTATTTACTAATGCTTACCTAATGATTCATAGCGTGCAGTTATTATAAAGTGTTACCATTGAACTGAACTGTAGTTTTCTGTAGTAAACTGTCTTTGTATATTTCCTATTTTATATTAATTTCCTAGTATTTAATTTACTATTATTTATTTTGAACAAAACAATTTAAGAAATTTCATGTTTTAAATTGTACCCTGTCAAGGACAAATCTAACCAGCAAAACTTGATATCAAAAGCATCCTAATGTTACATGTGTTTGCATTATAGTGAGTAACCTATCCTGGTATTGCTGTTTCAAATAGCCCACCATAATCTGTAGTCTGAGCCTGCCAAGGGCTAATGGCAAGGGCAGATATGTTACTAGTTAGTTTCAAGAAAAATCATTTTCAAATAATGTTCTTTTTTTTTGCCAAATAACCCTGTGTATGTGTCCACCCCCGCAACCCCCGGACAAAGTTCAGGCTCAGGATTTTTTTTTTTGCTTTAACCCCTGTGTGCTACTTATTTTGTGCTCCAGAGTCACATATAAATGTTTATCCTCTAAAGCAAAGATGCCCAAACCAGAGTATGTGGGCCAAATTAGGCACACCATTCGATGTCATAGGATGGAGCAAAAATAGGGAAAAATACATGCCATTGAAGCATCTTCATTTCTAAAATTGGAAAGTATAATCCTTTTGCATTGAAATGTAGAGATTTTAAGCAAGTTTGATGTTGATATTATAGTTAGATATAATGCAACATGTTTGATTTTTTGGCCACTATGCTCAAAGGCTCACATAGCTGGATTCTAATTTGTCTGTAAAATATGTGAAATGAAAGCTTTTTAATGGCAAATGGAATATAGGTGGGACTAAGTCATTTGGCTGAATTTATTGGTATGATCGATGTTACGGTGTAGGTGTACTGATCATTACTGATTTGTGTTGGTTGGAGGTACAGGTTTTGCCCAAATGTGTCCCCATGAGAAAACCTGAAAAAAATGTAATTCATGCTGAACTCCTCAATGACGATGTTGTTTGTGTGTATGGTAGTGGGTGGTGAATGGGAAGAGTCGGAGAAGGTCAACTCCTCGCAGGCGTTCTATCAGCTGCAGGGTCTGACGCCGGGCGTTCAGTACCACCTGCAGATCCGGCCCGGAAACAACTCCTGGGAATTCAAAACGGATGGACCAGGTACAGGCTAGTAACAACCATCACTGGATTGTTTTATTCGTTACATGCTCTCACGTGTTGTCTCTTTCTCAGAGCTGCACGAGTTGCCCAGCAGCTTTGCGACTCAGGGCTGGTTCATCGGACTCATCAGCGCCATGGTTCTGCTGCTGCTGGTGCTGCTCATTCTGTGCTACATCAAGAAGAGCAAGGGAGGAAAGTATTCAGGTAACACTCCCACAGTTTGCTGAAAAAAATTATTATGTGTCTCTCGTTCTTGGTGATAGAAGCCTTCTGTGGTCTGATGTTTTTGACTTAGTCCGGGTTGTAATTAAACCTTGGGTGTGAAATGTGTTACATCAAGAAGAGCAAGGGAGGAAAGTATTCAGGTAACACTCCCACAGTTTGCTGAAAAAAATTATTATGTGTCTCTCGTTCTTGGTGATAGAAGCCTTCTGTGGTCTGATGTTTTTGACTTAGTCCGGGTTGTAATTAAACCTTGGGTGTGAAAACATCAACCAGATGGAGGTAGTAGTATTATTGATTACAAGACTGTGTTCTTTACTCCATGCAACGAAATTGGCTCTCTGTAGCATACTGCTGAAAGTTCCGATCCTTATACAGAAGGCCAAGAATGGCAGTATCATTTGAAAATTTTACAAAAATATTCCCAGGATGGTGACTCCTATACTCATTAGTGTACAGTGTAAATAAAAGTGGTGAACATACATACCCTTGGGGAACACCAATACTAATGGACCTGTACTTGGCAAGAGTCTGCTTCACTTGAACTTGTTGAGTCCTAACGGTAAGAAATGAATGGAACTATTTGATACTGTATGGATTGACAGCCAAGCTGTTAAATTTGGAGAGCATAAGGTCTGGCTGCATGGTATTGAAAGCAGAGCTCAGATCAAGGACGAAAAACCTGGCCTGAGCCTATAGGATCCTCCAGATGTTTTACAACATGATGCAGCATAGTCAGGATAGCATCATCACAGTGCACAGTGCAGATTAAGGGCAATAGTCATTATACACCTCAGGACTTTATTTTTTTTTTTTTTTGGAACAGGTATAATAATAGATTTTTTTTCCGAATATCTGGAATGATATGTGAAGCAATAGTACTCTGGAAACAATAGAAAATGTCCACCCATGCAGGGGCTAATTTCTCTGCAAATGTTTTCAGGATAAAATGCAGAAAGACCATCCAGACCAGACATCTTTTTAGTGTCTAGACCTTTTAAAACAACATCAGCCAGTCTTATTGGCAGCTTGAGTACAGAATCATCGATCATAACAGCCCCCAGAACATCACTACAATCACAGGAGTTAACATCAAACCTACACTGTAAAAATCATTAAGCTCATTAAGCCCATGTTTTTCCTTTTAGGTATTATAATAGTTATACACCGTGCCTTAGACCAGTGGTTCCCAACCCTGGTCCCAGAGGCACCCCAACACTGCACATTTTGCATGTCTCATTTCTCTGATACACCAATTTCAGGTCTTGGAGTCTCTACTAATGAGCTGATGACCTGGATCAGGTGTGTTTGATTAAGGAGACATGCAAAACATGCAGTGTTGGGGTGCCTCCAGGACCAGGGTTGGGAACCACTGCCTTAGACCACAACTTTTTTTGAATTATTACTTAAATCAATATCGATAAATCTCTATAATGCTTATGAGTTTCTCTTATTTTGTGATTAAGCTATTTTGGGACCATTTATTTAATAGGTTCAGGGTCCTTCTGATTAAAAGCCAAGTGTGTGTGTGTGTGTGTGTGTGTGTGTGTGTTTACACTCATTAACCTCCTTGGTGATATAAGGCTTGTTGTTTGGAAAATGTTTGACCTGTTTAGCTGGTGTCACATAATCTACACAGAACTTGACATATGCAGACCTGATTTCATTATTCCTGTCAATGCTTGGATCTTACAGTGCTTCCCAATGAACACAGAGAAAATGGCCTTTCAATATCTCCACATTCCCAGGAGACCAAAGTCTCACCACCTTGGTTACAGGCTTGCTTGACTTCAGCAAAGTACAGTAGAGGAATAAGCTGCAGTGTATTATGGTCAGAATTTGCTATTGGTAGTTTAACTTTTGCAATATATGCATTGGATATGTTCCCATAACACTGAAAACCAGGAATACATTTTTCAAGATAACAGTGGTTCATATCATCTAAAACATAAAAAACCTAAAACACTTTAAAAATAACATTATGGGAACACCTTCAGTGTGCGCCGTGTCTGGTGTCAGGTTAAGCTGGTGTGCACACTATGGCTGCCGTTGCATCATCCAGGCTGATGAGGAGATCCCCCCCTCACAATGTGAAGCGTTTTGAGTGCCTAGAAAAGCGCTATAAAAATGTAATGAATTATAATTATAATTATGATATAAAAATGTTAAAACCCTCTGCACCAGTGGTTCTCAATTCTGGTCCTGGGGCATCACTTTTCTGCACATTTTGTATGTCTTCCTTATTTAACGCACCTGATTCAGATCATCAGCTCATTAGGAGGGAGATCCAGAGCAGCGCTACCCCAAGACTAGAAATGAAAACCACTGCACTACACCATACTGAAAAATGCCTCCACACAATACTGTGTGCATATATATATATATATATACCAGAGGCACCCTATATATGGAATTTTTAATAAGAATAGTCTTTTTGGCAATTTGTTCAAGTAATTTTAATTTTTTTTTGTATTTCAGTGAAAGATAAAGAGGAGGATCAGGTCGATGGAGCCCGCACAATGAAAGATGGAGAGTTTGGAGAGTACAAGTAAGTGCAGTTTATGTCACATTACACAAGCAGCTCTGACATTTTCCTTTTGTGGTGATCATTATTATGTAACACAGGACATCTAACATGAAGAGTTTAATCTCACAGAACCTGTCAAGAACTGGTCAGTGGCCTGGAGAGTGACTGTAGAATTTCTGGAGAGATTTTATTAGATATAATATATTTTTTATTACTATATTTTTATATCATATAACATTATATAATAGATACAATAGATTTTTATATTATTTATTATCACATAAAATAGACATTATTGTGTCTAAAATATAACAATATTAAATTCTTATTTACTGAACTGTTGTATAACATCAGTATCACATTTGCACTCGTGGTATTCAGGACAAAAACAGCACCCATGTGATATTGCTTAACTATATCATTTGATATAAATATGAGACAAAATCTCATACAGGGGCATTTTTGCCCCAATCTCTTGAATTTTAGTGGCATATAACTGCATTCTATTGGCTACATCACGCAGTAAGTTGTTACCCTGCATAATGTTCGTCACCAGTCAACTGTAATGAAATGTAAGATGATCTACACAGGTCTGGGACGGGGCAGGTGTGTTAAATGCTTTAAACAAAAAATGTCTGTAGTCACTCTCCAAAACTTTGACCCTCTCTGTTCCTCTATGGCATGACCTGAATGGGGCCTATGTTAGTCCGGGAGTTAAAAAAGTTAATAAATTAAAATGAATATCAGACAGTAGTATAGATTGTGCTTTTCTATAAAATATTACACCACTATAAATTTTTTTAAATTGTCTTGATGACTTTTTTTCATTATTTGGAATTTTGATTGACAGGTTGATTGACATGGTACATTTGCCTATGTATATTCACTCTTTCTCTTCTATGTATGCACTTTGTGTGTGTGTGTGTGTGTGTGTGCGTGTGAGTGTGTGAGAGAGAGAGAGAGTTCCATGCACGCTCTCTGCCAAATGATCAATAAAGCACTTTTTAATGCATAACGTAATGTGCTGCTTTAAATACAAAGTATAGATGTATGATTAGTTACATTTGAGTTATTAGTCATGCAGTAATGTAACACACATGCATTTTCTTCATATGTGTGAAGTACAAAGAGAAAACAGAGGAGAAGCAGTGAATTTATATTTGGCATAAGATTATATTTAGAACTGCCAAAATATTTAGAATATTATAAATATTATTAGTAATATTGCACACCACTTTCACTGCTACCAAAAAAATCCTGTGATTTACCGCTTTTCATGTGTCTCTAATTAAAAGTGAACAGGCACATGGAGAGTCAGTCACAGTAACTGATATTATGGGGTCTTGCTTGGGAGCCCAATCACCTCTGACTAAAAAACAGCCAATAAGTATTGGCGAGTGGAATTTGCATGCCAAGCCACTCCCTATACTCCACTCTAACTAAAAGAGCAAGTGGATGACTGGCATCTGGGCTCTAGACGTGACTTGCAGCCACGTTCTGCCCCAGTGCCTTTCTTCTTGGAGGTGCATGAAGAGCTCACTAAAGCATGGAAAGTACCCTACACGCTTGAGCTCTTCCCTCCTTACTACACTTGATGGCTTGACAGCCAAGGGGTATGTGGACATTCCCCAGGTGGAGTGTGCGATTGCGGTACATCTCTGCTCGCAAAACGCTGCCACTTGGAGGAATCGTCCATGACTCCTATCCAAAGCCTTTAAGCTGACCTCAGCTCTGGCTTTCAAGACTCACAGTGCTGTGGGCCAGGTGCCCTGTACCTGCAATCCATGACAATCCTGCAGGTACATCAGTCGTCCCTTTGGTGATGCTTGTGTGGAGTCTGGGGATGTTGACACAAAAACACATCCTTTTATGAATTTGGCCCCAGGATTGGTTTGCAGCGATTGACCTAAAGGACATGTACTTTCATGTCTCAATCTTACTTCAGCACAGACTGTTTCTTTGGACAAGTATTTTAGCTATCAGTACGAGGTCACCCCCTTTGGGCTGTTCCCATCTCCCCACGTCTTCACGGAGGTCACGGAGAGTGCCTTTGTCCCACTCCAGGAAGTGTGGATTTGGATACTCAACTATCTCAACGAATGGCTTATATTAGCTTACTCACAAGATCTGCTGTGCAAGTACAGGGACTTGGTGCTTAGGTACCTCAGTCACCTGGGGCTTTGGGTCAGCTGGAAAAAGAGCATCCCTGTGCAGAGTTGGACTCGATTAATATGACGGTGCGTCTCACGAACAAGCGTGCCCAGTCAGTGCTGAACTGCCTAATTCATTCAGGGGGCTAACTCAGTTCCACTGAAAACAATTTCAGAGGTTCCTGGGGCATATGGCATCCACAGCTACAGTAATGCCACTTGGATTGATGCATATGAGACCGCTTCAGCACTGGCTCGATATGAGCATGGTACCATGGCACACATCGGGTGATCATTACGCCTATCTGTCGCCATTTATTCAGCCCATGATCAGACCTTGTTGTGCTTTGGGAGTGTCCTTAGAACAAGTGTTGAGACATGTTGTTGTCACAACAGATGCCTCCAGAATGGGCTGGGGCACTCTATGCAACGAGCATGCATCCTCAGGCTCATGGACAGGACCTTAACTGCAGTAGTATATCAATTGCATCGGGGTGCTAGCGGTGTTGCTTGCCTTACACCGGTTTCATCTGCTGCTTCATGGCAGGCATATGCTCATCCAGATGGACAACACTGCAACAGTTGTGTACTTCAACAGGTGTTTTCGCACCGGAGGAACCATTTCATAGTTCCTAGAACTATTGGCGGAAGTTCTCGCTTTTTGGCGTGTTCACACAGCAGGAACTAGGAACGTGATTAGCTCTAGGAACTCTGTTTGGGGGAACTAAATTAGCTCCTACTTCAGAGTAGGGTCTAAAACAGTTCTACAGGAAGTATCAGTGACGCAGTGTACGCTGACTGGCCAAACGCATGCGAAACACCGGCTACCCGGCATTTTTAAAAAGTCATGTTAAACATATGTACTCCAGGAACATAGAAAACAGAGATAATGGCATTTACCTGTTGTCTGCAGCATTTTGTTCTTTTCTCAGCCTTGATGATAACACTGCAAGTTGTCATAGAAGATTTAGTCAGATTTTTGTGCATTCCATCTCTGTTATCATGAAACCCATGACAATCATCAAAAACAGCTCCGAACGCAGCGTCCTCCATTCAGCGGTTGTTGATGTTTGTAAATGCCACGAATAAAGACATCACTATCGGCCGCTTCAGAGTTCCTGCTGCTGGTATGTATATGCAACCAGGAAAACAGCACGAGGGAGAAATTGGTTCTCCAGAAACCACTATGCTGGCTAGTTCCTAGAACTCAGTGTAAACTAGAACTAAGTTCCTAGAACTACGCGGTGCGAAAGTGCCTAACCAGCAAGGTGAAGTATGCTCTTGTAGCATGTCATGACTCACTCGCCATCTCCTCTTAAATCGCTGCATGCCATTCGTTTCCCAGGGGAGCTCAATGGTGCAGCCAATGCACTCTCTCACATCCTCCCAGTTCACTTAATTTCCAGCAATACTGTCGACTTGATTGTACAGATACTATTTGAACTGAACTGAGCTGGACAATGACAACACTGAATCAATGATGAACTGATTTTAACTAAACATTTGAGAGTTTACTATTGTCCTTTTGCATTATCAACACGCTATTTTATTATTTAATACTGTAAACCTGCTTTGACACAATCTGTACTGTTAAAACCGCTATATAAATAAAGGTCACTAGACTTGACATTGCCAGCTGTTTTTTCCCTGATCAAGGCCCCCCTCTGCAAAGATTTAGCTGGCCCCGGAGTCTGCGCAAGTGCGCGTTTTCCCCAGTGAGCTTCCTTACAGAGACACTGTGCAAGATCAGGGAGGATAAAGAACAGGTCTTGATGGTTGCAACTTATTGACCCATCTGCACCTTATGTTCCTCACCACAGCACCTCCCTGGTGAATCCCCCTGAGGAAGGACCTCCTTTCTCAGGGATGGGGCACTATTTGGCACCTGTGTCCAGATCTCTGGAACCTCCACGTGTCAAGTCAAGTCAAGTCACCTTTATTTATATAGCGCTTTTAACAATGCAGATTGTGTCAAAGCAACTGAACAGCATTAATTAGGAAAATAGTGTGTCAATAATGCAAAATGACAATAGTAAACACTAATTTTTCAGTTAAAGGCAGTTCATCATTGAATTCAGTGATGTCATCATCAGTTCAGTTTAAATAGTATCTTTGCAATCACTTGCAATCAAGTCAACAATATCGCTGGAAATATCATGTGATGTTTGTAAATGGTTCTGTTTCTATTGTGGCAGCATGTCTTGTCATCAGATCCAGTGAGACTGGGCTATACTGAGGACGGACACTGCAAAGGAAACCCCCATCCAAACCTGCCGGGACCCCAGAGACTGCAGTGGGACATCCCAGAGGAGGTCAGTTCAAATGTTTACTGTGCATTTTAAACATGCTGTACTTTTAAAAAAAAGAAGAAAAAAGCAATAGGCACGAATGGAAACGCTAATGACAAGCTAACGAATGCTAACGCGCTGCAGATGCGCTGCACTCGCGGTTTTAGAATAAAAGCGAACGATCAGATTAATCAGATTAGTTTGATAGATAATATCAGAAATATGGTGGGAATTAAGTTATATTTTAACACTTTAAACAACAGAGAGTAATAGAGATTTTACAGAAAAAAAGAGCTACATGACGCTACAATCACAAACCAGCAGCACTGCAAACAGGAAGCAGGAATAACACTGTCCAACAGCGACACCCGCAGGTCAGGAATGCAACCGACTCCTGTGACGTGTGGCTTCTGTATGGGGCACGACAAACTTAAGGGCTTTAACACAGGCAGTGATTGATACTATCACTCAGGCTACAGCCCCATCTACTAGGCAGGCTTATGCGCTGAAGTGGAGTATGTTTGTTGAGCGGTGTTATTCTCGCCAAGACGCCCCCCAGAGATGTCCAATCAGTGTGGTGCAT